GGTGGAACAGCGTAAGCCAGGGCTTGGAGGTGTTAAACAGCCACGCAGCTTCGGCCAACTTCAGGTTCTAAGGGTAGAGGGGCAAAGGGGCAGATGGTTGGGAGGTGTCATGAGACACGAGGATGGTAAGGTAGACGAGAGACACTTCACATAGACCGCCGGTGTCCTGTAAAGGAAATCAGTTTTTACCCCATGACAAAGCTGGTCCTGGCCCTTTAGCTCGTTGGCAGTGGTACTGACCCCACTTCTGCTTAAATAACAACTGGGTGCTATAATCCAGATGAGGCATTTGGACGCCATCATTCCAAGATGGCGCTCCCCACTTGCAGCATGGATCACCCCAGCTAGGCCAGTGCTCTTCTCATCCCTGAGCCCAGATATCCCCAGCGTCAACACTACTCAGACTTCGCTTTCCTCTTGTGGAGGAGAGACTCCTCAAGGACTTTTAGTTTTACAAGCCCTACCTCATCGTTCCTCCCCAACCTCATGCCCCACAGTCTAGACTCCACGTTTGGCCGTCAGAAAACTTTCCATTCATTACTTGCTCTTTGGCCTCATCATCTTTAAAAACAACAACAACAACAAATTTTAAGCACCTATTGGGAATAGAGAACCTCTGAAGAATTTTAAGCATGTGTGTGACATGATCAGTTTTTCATTTTCAAAAGATCGTTTGATGGCAGTGTGCACGGCTGGAGATGGAAGTACAGTCAGAAACTGGTGGTCACCCAGCTGAGAGATTGTAAAGCCGCAATTACACAGTAAGAGCGAGTGAAGAGAAGAGGACTGGACCTGCTCCCTATTGGATGCGAAAGTGGGAGACAACAAAACAGCTCTAAGGTTTCTGGCTGGGACGTTGTCAGAGGGGGATGCCTCTTCCCCACTCCTCTGCTTCTGTGAAGGACTTTCCCCAAAACACTGCTGGCCTTTTGTCCAGTCCTTGTTCCCGTCCTGAGATGGCGTAAGTTACCTGGTTAATGGGCGGTAGCCATTTGCCCATGTTTCTTAGAGTGAAGTGCTTAGGGTGCAGTTAGTGTGAGGGCTCCACCCCTTTTCTCCTGCCTCTCCATCCTTGAGCGCTGAGAGCACTGGTCCTCTCTGCACACCTGGATGACCTGCACTTGAAGGCTGGAAGCTGGCAAGCCCATTCTCCTAATCTCTAGTCTCCAAATTACTGCTTCTCTGTAATCAGGGCGATATTTTGGACTGCTGACTTTTGGAGCTAATTTCTCAGTTGGTTCAGATCTCAGTCAGGAAAAGAGAGCTATCAATACTTTTTAAGGGCACTCCCCCCTTAAAGCCCCAAAGCTGTGTTGGTCTAAGGTGCCTATGGGACATCCAGGTGATGCTGTCCAGGGGAGACGGCTGGAACGAGGGGGTTGGAACTCAGGAGAGGCCTGGCTAGAGACAGAGTTGGAAGCTGTAGGCTGGATGAGATAACTGGGGGGAGTGGCAAGAGCAGTGGTCAGTGCTGACTTGCATCCATCCCCAGTGACTCTTGTTAAAATGGAGAGGGTCGGGCTTCCCTGGTGGCGCAGTAGTTGAGTGTCCGCCTGCCAATGCAGGGGACACGGGTTCGTGCCCCGGTCCGGGAAGATCCCACATATCGCGGAGCGGCTGGGCCCGTGAGCCATGGCCGCTGAGCCTGCGCGTCTGGAGCCTGTGCTCTGCAACGGGAGAGGCCACAACGGTGAGAGGCCCGCGTACCGCAAAAAAAAAATTAAATTAAATTTAAAAAATGGAGAGGGTCAGGCCCCAACTCTGGAGACGGTATATCAGTAAGTCTGGGCTGGTGACAGGAGTCTGTGTTTTCTAAAATAAGCTCAGACATGATTCTGACGCTCACTGAGCAGGGTTGAGGAGCCCTGGTGAGAGTGGGAAGTTTGAAGACAGGCCCACTCAAGGGATGTGTGTGTCTGGGTGTAGCAGGGATTATTGATCAAAAGCTATTCGATAATTACCTGTGACTGGTGACATCATTAACAGAAAGGGCTTCCTGGGCAATACAAACTAGGGCCTGGACAGTACACAACCTTGTTACAGAAGAGACAAGCTCATTTCAACTATGAGATGATGTTCTAAAGAAATATATTTAAATGATTGTGCATTCTTGATAACACAATGATTTTTTGTTTTATTTTGTTTTCTAGCAGGATGGCCAGATCTCACAGTTCTAATTAGCCTACATTTCTAGTACTGTATAATTGATTACTTGCCTCCAGAATGAAAGGGGAAAGGGCATCTTGGCTTAAGCAGTGAAAAGGATTACGAGAAATTCACTTGAGTCCATTTTGGGACACCATCTGAAGAAAAGAAATGGAATCCTTTGATTGCTTAATTTAAGGAATTAAATATAGTTTAAATCCTTGATTTAGCTATAAAAATGGGGTTATATTTACACTCCTTTAAAGTATTTGTGTGACCCTGGGAAAATTACTCGAGGCCTCTGTGCCTCCTTCAGTTTCCTCATCTGTAAAATGGGGAAAATAACAAAACTCATCTCATAAGAACTTTGGAAGGATTAAACGAGAAAATACATGTGAAGCATCTAGCATAGTGCACTGGGCACATACCAAACATTCAATAAATAACAGCTGAGAAAGTTTTAGACCAATAACTAAACAGCACTACTACTTACAGATAGTACTAGTTTAACACCCAGTGCTTCCAGCACAGGAGCAGCATAGCGTGATTTAAACTTAATGCATATTACTCAGGCCTGTAAGAACCAGGGAATCTTCCTGGGCTGGGAAATAGACCACTTTCATGACAGAGCACATTCCTTGGCTATTTGAAAAGTTAGCTTCAAAGATCACTTTGAAAACTCACCTCGCCAGGAACTTATTTGGGCCTGTCTGGATGGCAACATAGCCCAGCTTGGGAAGTGTCTGCCTTGTTTTGTGAGGCGAAGGGATAAAACTAAGGAGGCCTTGGAAGCACTGTGATCCAACAGTGCTGATCAAACAATTATTCACCCATCAGTTCAATAAATGAGTATCTACTTCATGCTGAGCAAAGTGCTAGGTGTTGGGGATACAACAGTAAATAAATTCCTTGTCTCCAAGGAGCCTGTGTTTTAGTGAAAGGACAGACATACAAATATGTGCTACCATTTAAATGACGAGTGCCAGGATTTGGGGTATACACAAAATGCCATGGGAGCGGAGGGGAAGGGGACCCCTTCAGACCACCCAGGCAATTGGACAGATGGTGATATTAATCATTTGAACTGGGGCTCCAAGAAGAGGAGGAGGAGACGTTTAGGGGAGAAGGTAATGAGCTTGGCTTTTGTGATGTTGTCTGAAGCACTTGGGCAACGTCCAGACCAAGATGTCCAGAAGCAGTTGAATGAGTGAGTCTAAAGCTAAGGAGAGAGGTCAAGGTTAGAGACCCAGACTTGGAAGTTATTAGCTGATGGGCATGGATGATAAACTGTCTTGGAAGAATTTTAGAGCTGAGCGATACTGTGGAAGACTAACATTTCAAGGGCAGGCAGAGGAAGAGGGGCCCGAAAGGAAAACGAAGAAAGAATAGAGAGGAAGAACAGGCGCCCAGAGATAATGAGCAGAAACAAAAACTCAGGAGAGGATGTTCAAGATAGTCTCAGTATTTTCAAAATATAACTTTAATGACAGAGTTAGTTAGCTACTATTCCATAAAGGATTGCCCTATTTTCAAAGTATTTGCAGTGTCTTACACGTGTGTTAAAAGATTGAGAAAATAAATTAGAACATTATAATGCACACTTAACACTAAAACTACCGAGCACAATATAACTTTTAGATAGTTCGGAAGGCACTGAGGGATTTTTTTCAGTGCCTCAGGGTATCATTATGAACTCTAATTATTATTGTTCTGTTCAACTGTGGGAGCACTGATAGATGGAGAGTTCATTGCCCTCTGGTTAAACCAACTTTGACTCTGAATGGGAAGGCTGACTAGGAGCAAAAGAGGGGATATGGGGGCTTCCCTGGTGGCGCAGTGGTTGAGAGTCCGCCTGCCGATGCGGGGGACGCGGGTTCGTGCCCCGGTCCGGGAAGATCCCACATGCCGCGGAGCGGCTGGGCCCGTGAGCCATGGCCGCTGAGCCTGCACGTCCGGAGCCTGTGCTCCGCAGCGGGAGAGGCCACAACAGTGAGAGGCCCGCGTACCACAAAAAAAAAAAAAAAAGAGGGGGGTTATGAGGATCCCAGCTCAGGCTTGGATGCCAGCTGACCCAATCAGAGACCTAAAGCCATCAGAAAGAATTAAAACAAACCCCTGTGTGTCTATGCAAGACGGTCACCTAGAGGGAAGTTCAGAGAGCAAATCAACCTCCCGTCCCAGTATCCTAATATACTAGAAATGATGGTGACATCAGTACACATGTTTTTCAAGACCTACCCCTCAATAGCCATCCAAAGGTTTGGATGTGAGTTCATAATGGTCTGACCTACACTTAAAATAAGTTTAATAGAACCAAGAGAAGCTGATTTATAAACTTGTTTTCAAGCCTGAGCCTTCCCTAAGAGGGATCCTCTTGGCTTTAGGAGGGATCCTAACTGACGTTGTAGGCATGGGGGCTACGTGGATTCTGTGTCTTCCCCAGGCTCTGGTTATAAGGTCACACCATGCTTGTGAGTTAGCAAGCTGTGAATTCTGTTACCGCCATAGTCAAAGAAAACAGGTAAATTTGAGTCAAGGTGTTTGGGGATTGCTCTCCCCAGACTGCCAGATTCGGGCACTGCCATGGCCACTGATGAACAGGCAAAGAATGAGAGTTTTTTCATGACAATCAAGACCGTCGACATGGGAAAAATTCCCCACTGTTCTTGCTGAGTGGGATTGCTGGATTTAGAAAGGCATTTGCTGAGTTGCACATCTCCTGGTGAGAAGGAAGTGGGAAAAGGGAAAGGAGCTGGCTGGACGTGGGCCAGGGCTGCTCGCGGCTACCTTGTGCTGTCTGCATGGGGGTGGGTAGCTGTGCTTCTGTTTTCATGAAAATCAGCTGGAGTTGGGGGCTAGTCCTCATCGTCATCACTGTCATCATCCTCTTCGTCAGAATTGTCATCGTCATCATCGTCGTCGTCATCCTCTTCATCCTCTTCATCTTCGCCGTCATCATCCTCAGTGTTTATCTTCCCAGAAAGCACATCCTCAATCCAGTCTTCCAGCTCCTCAGCTGTGGGCAGGTCATCACCATCTGGAATCTCCATCCAGACACTGTCAGCCTGCAGCCAGAGACAGAATGAGTGAGTGAGTGAGTGCAGGAAGGGTCAGCAAGGCCAGGGGGCTCCAAGCAGCTGTGCTGAGTGGGCTCCAGGTCACTTACACTTGTCAGGAATATGTGCGCACTGTTAAATGGAAACGCTTAGCCGCAGAATGGCGTGTGTAGTATCCTGTTTGTGCAACCTAAAAGGAAAGGTGCATTCCATTGCATATAGATATATTTTTTTCTATTGTATGTATGTATGGCCAGTTAGCAATGTCCTTTTATCCTGTTGGTAGATGTTCAGTCACCTGGGAAATTCTACATTTCTTTAGTTTGTAAACTACTTTTAAGATTAATAGTAATAATAAATAATAATAATTTAAAATTCTGCTTAAGTTAAAACATTTTAAAACAGAACAGTAGGATACAAGGTGAAAAGCCAAAGTATTTCTGACTGCCCTGACCCCATCCCTAGTCTCATTGGTGGTAGTTTCATGGCTGTCCTACCAGAAGTTTCATATAGATCCTATATATCATATATTCATGAACATACACACACACACACACACACACACACACACAATGGTGATTGCCTCCATGGGCTTCTGGGCCACAGCTTCCCCATCACCCATTGAGCAATAACAACTCCCGGTGTGAGTTCCCTTGTGCAAAGAGACCTTGTTGGGCTTTGGGAGAAAATATAGGAGAGTTTACTTGTGTGGAAAGTTCTAAATAGTCAGTGAACCAGGTTAGGCTGACTCCCAAAGCAAGGAAATGTGCCCATGGAAGAGAACCATGGAACAATAGGCTGGGACTGGCTCAGACTAGGATTGGGCCACACTGGCAAGTCTCCTGAGCTTTGGCAAGGCCAAGGGTCCTGCTCATTTCACATGGGGCCAGGCTCCTATACGTGATCTCATAGTCTGGGCTGCATGGCAGAAACCAGGGCAGGCTGAGGGCATTCGAGCAAACTTTCACGAGGTATACTCACATCTGTAACATTCACCACTCCAATCTGTGGCTTGAATAGGTCAATCTTGAAAGTCTTTTCCCAATAGGCAACAAGCTGTATCCACAAAAAATAAAATTAGACAGCAGGCAGAAGGCATTCCCTGTTAAAGCCACTTTTTGTGGCTGGACCCACCTGCCATCCCATCACAGTAATTAGGTCACCATTGGTTACAGGTCTCCAAAACAGCTGTGGGCACTGAGGAAATTGAAGACTTGGCCCCAGCGTTCAGCACTTTAAATAAACACGAAAAAAAAAAAAGTCATAACACAAACTGTGAAAGCATGTAATATAAAAGCTTCTACAGCTGTAAGGAAGAATATTACAGAGATAGTCCAAAGCTGATTCCCAAGTCACTTGTGGCTTTTTACAGTTTATGTGTGGTTGAATGAGCCATTTCCCTCCACCTCTCTTTCAATGTCTCACTTAAAAATCCCTTACCTTGCACCACTCTGCTCACGAGATGCCCAGGAAAGCAGTGGTGTGCTGTAAGTGGGCACACGAGTAAGAAGAGGGCTTCTTCATTCAGCCAGACTTGGGTTCCATGAGGACTAATCTCTGACTAGGGCAGGACTAAAAAAGTAAGGGGCCATGGGGCTAAGAAAATGGAGATATTCAGTGGTAGAAAGTCTCCCAAACATGGGACTTCCCTGGGGGTCCAGTGGTGAAGAATCCGCCTTCCAATGCAGAGGGCGCAGGTTCAATCCCTGGTCGGGGAACTAAGATCCCACATGCTGCAGGGGAACTGGGCCCTCGTGCCACAACTACTGAGCTCTCACGCCTCAACGAGAGAGCCCGCGTGCCGCAAAACTGCAGAGCCCTAGCGCTCTGGAGCCTGTGCGCCACAACTAGAGAGAGAAAAACCTGCACACCACAACTAGAGAGAAGCGCACTAGAGAAGAAGCCCGTGTGCCGCAACTGTAGAGAAGCCCACACACTTCAAGGAAAAGATCCCGCATGCCTCAGTGTAGATCCTGCATGCTGCAACTAAGACCCAACACAGCCAAAAAAAAAAAAAGAAAGAAAGAAAGAAAAAAAAGTCTCCCAAACAAATATATGGTCTCATGGGGACTGGAAGAGTATATCTACCACTTACAGCTTTAACCTCTCCCGCTGTCATTCTTTTCACCTGTAAGATAGGGATTATAGGGCTTCCCTGGTGGTGCAGTGGTTGAGAGTCTGCCTGCCGATGCAGGGGACACGGGTTCGTGTCCCGGTCCGGGAAGATCCCACATGCCGCGGAGCGGCTGGGCCCGTGAGCCATGGCCACTGAGCCTGCGCGTCCGGAGCCTGTGCTCCGCAACGGGAGAGGCCACAGCAGTGAGAGACCCGCGTACCGCAAAAAAAAAAAAAAAAAAAGATAGGGATTATAATAGTCTGTACTTCACAGGGTTGTTTGGAGGATTGGATGAGATGATGCATGGAAAGAATTTACCAAGTTCTAGGCAGATAGTATATCAGCCACCCTCACTATCATTACCACTGGGCTCATGTATTGTACAAATTCTGTTTATTCTCTTTAAAACGAAGCATAACCAAGGCTTTCTGGCCATTGATCACTGACCCAGCAAGAGTTTGGGCTTTAAGGACCTGGGAGAACATGTTGAACAAGACAGGCAGGGTCTCTGCCCTCCCTGAGGGTTTTTTTTTTTTTTTCCTGGCTGCGAGGTTTGCGGGGTCTTAGTTCCCCCACCAGGGATTGAACTCGTGCACCCGGCAGAGGAAGTGCAGAGTCCTAACCGCTGGACTGCCAGGGAATTTCCAGCAGAGGTTGTTCTTAACTCTATACAAAATGTTCATCTCTGAACATTTATTACTTAGTAACTTAGGTTGCCTCACAGCGATGGTCTCCACCCAGAAAATGAAAGAGGTTATAGTAAGGGGTGGTGTGGTGGTGGGTGAAGGGCAGCTATGGAGCTGCTGGCAGAAGAATTTCACCCAACACCCTTGAGTGGGCCCTGCAGAAGGACTTCTGGCCTCTAGGGGGCGAGAACAATAAGTCTAACCATGTCGGGTAGGCACCAGGCCCTAAGTTCAATGTTGCCCCAGGGGCTAAGCGGGTGGGGACAGCCACTGAGCTTCTGCAAGTGCCCCTCCTATTTCCCATCCTCCTTCGTGCATCCAGGTCTCACACTAAACACAAACATGAGGCTGTGAAGGTGGCCAAGGACAGGGCCCCAGTCTGAGCCACTCACCAGAGGAAAGTCATCTGGGTCGATCCACACGATGCTCAGGTCAGGGTTGTCCGTGTTGTCCCGAGCAACCTGCTTCAGGATCTCCAGGAACTCATAGCCATCTGAAGCGGGATTCAAGGAGGGTGAGTAAGCCCTGTGCATATATGGCTTCTAATGTGGAGAGCAGAGTGCCGTTACTCCACAAGTGTTTCTTAGGCCATTTGGTGCATACCCTCAATTACAGGATTATTCTATAAAATGAGTCAGATGAGAACTCCAGCCACAAAGCAGCTTCTTCAAAGGAAACAATAAACATTTTGAATGAAGAAATTGAAAGTTTCCCAGGGAAGTGTCTGGTTGTAACGGAAAGCGAAACTGCATATGAAAATTGACCAGCCTTGTGTCAGAAAGTGCAACCCCAGAACAGAGAAACTCCTGTCTGGTCCTCAGTGCTCTGTGCCATCTCTTAAAACTGATAATTTATTGATACTATCCCTGAGAGTTCCCCATAGCATTTGCTCTCTGGAGCAAGAATGTTTAGCCTGGATCCTTAGTTTTCTACAACCTGGAGTTCCCACAACCTTCAGACTAAGTGGGCTTCTGACTGACAGTTGGTTTCAAAGCTTTGAGATAGTAAATAGGGTTCCCTCCCCTCCTCACCATTTCCCTGCATGCTCTGCCGTCCCTTTATTCAATTCGAAGCATTCATTGCCCCCCAGGGGAGGGATGATTCATAAGAAAAGCAGAGACAAGCCTAGGGGTAAGGCAGGAATAAAGACGCAGACCTACCAGAGAACGGACTTGAGGTTATGGGGAGGGGGAAGGGTGAGCTGTGACAGGGCGAGAGAGAGTCATGGACATATACACACTAACAAACGGAAGGTAGATAGCTAGTGGGAAGCAGCCGCATGGCACAGGGATATTGGCTCGGTGCTTTGTGACCACCTAGAGGGATGGGATAGGGAGGGGGGGAGGGAGGGAAACGCAAGAGGGAAGACATATGGGAACATATGTATATGTATAACTGATTCACTTTGTTATAAAGCAGAAACTAACACACCATTGTAAAGCAATTATACCCCAATAAAGATGTTAAAAAAAAAAAAAGGATAAACTCATAGCTTCAAGAGCACAGAAAGCCTAAATCTTGAAGAAATGAGAAAGATGAACTTTATATCATAGACAAAAATTTTGGAAGAATGTCTAGTAAGAGAAAGGACAGCCTAAACCCTCAGCGTCTCTGCCCCACTCCCAGGGAGAAACAAAGAGTTTAGCTTCTGGCAAGTCCCTGAGAATAAGCTCTGTGCCCGTGTGTATGTGTTTGTGTGTACATGTGCACGTGCGCGAAAGCAAGCCCATGTAGAGAAACTCCACAGTTTCAGGGAGTCCCAGAGTATAGGGGATTCGTGCTTTGTTCTAAAACTCATGAAAATGGAAAGACCTCAGATTCTCTTGGCGAATCCTCTGGTGCAGGAAGACTAGGGCAGAGAAGAGTGTGAGGAGGCCCCACCGAGTTCTCTGTGGTTTTGAGGAACACGGACAAGGCTAGTGGAGGGGGCAGATCTGAAGAAGTCCAGCAGTTGGGATGAAGGGGACCAGTGGTGACCCTGGCATAAAGCTAGAGTCCAGACAGAATGACGGACTTCTCTGCAGATGCCAGCATGGATAGGAGATGATGATAACTCTGACCAGATGCACACTTCACACATCATACCTGAGAACCAGCAAGACGCCGGATCCCGAGGGACGGTGGGAGGGGGAGGGGAGACCATTCATTGTCAGACCCAGTTTCCACCATCCAGTGGTAAAGTCTAGGTTCAGTTCTAGAAAATACAGTTGTATCTCTTGCATAGATGAATTTGTGGCCTGAAATTTGCCTTCTGTATAAGCAACTAGCTCACCCACTACTTAGAAATTCAGTACGGCCACCTCTCTTTCTTTGTAAAAGCTTCCTTCTTTTGCTGGGGGCCCCAGCCATTCTAAGCCCCTCTCTGTGGCCTCTGTTGAACACACCTCTCCTCTCTCCGGCACCCTAGCCTTTGTTTGGCTACCTGGGGCCTCTTGGGAAAGGTTTTTCTCTGCACTTCCTCATAGTTAACATATTCTAGGCAAAATGCACACTCTTCTTAGGAGCTCTGCTTTGAGTGGGTGTAGTCTCTTTAACTGTAGCTAGATCACACTAAAGATTCCGACTCGGCCCCCTCAGGCCTTGTTACCTGGAAGGCAGAGCTACCCTGCTAGTAGAGAAGAGGGTCGTTATGGCCCGCCGCCCTCTCCAGCAGAGATCCGGGTGGCCGAGGTGATTTTTCCATCTATGCTCTGAACTCTATGACAAATTAGATCGTATGACAGACACTTGGGATGGATGGGGCCTTGTGTTTCAGCGCTCATTATCTATTACTGTAGGGGTTGGGGTGGAGATGGGGGTGGAGGTGGGGATACTCTTCTTGCTGCCTGATGTGTGGCCGAGAAAGTCAAATCCCTCCACAGTGCCACCGGCTGCTGCTACTTGGACACTACAGATCTTCCTTCTCTGGGTGTGTCGCCGTGTCACAGGACGGGGACTATGGCGCCACCTGGGTTATCTGTGGATGTATAAGTATCATTATACACAGACTGCAACAGGGGATTTCTCCTCGACAGCTTCAGTGACTGCTTTCAGCAGCCGAGAAGAGGTGAATGGCAATAAATAAGGTGATGTTGCCAGTACTCTGGAAGAGGAGAATCACAGGTGACAAATCAGAAATTCACAAAGAGGATGAAACTCAACCACACAGACCCGAATTCAGGTAGAAAGTAAACTTGAAGGGCAAAAGACTAACTCACATAAAGGGCAGGCAGAAACTGTCTAGGCACAGCGTTGTAGACGGAGAAGATCTGAACGGAAGCCGAACACACAAGATGGCACTGTGGTTTTCTGATGGAAAAACCCACACAATGGGATTTATGAATAAGAATGTACATACAGGGAACGTTTCTATGTTTTAGAGCAGGTTTGGAGATAAAAAGAGAAAGATTGAAGGAACGAAAACTGGGTCCTTCAAGAAAAATCAAATGGATTGGAGTCTTTACATAAACAAGATAAGTCAAAATTGTGGCTTAATGCCTATGTTCAAGAATACAAAAAGTTTTTGTGAGGATGTTCTTTGTGTCTATGGAGGAGCAAAGCTCAAAAGACATGCCCAGAATAAATTAATAATTGAGTTGACAAAAGCTGGGGAAGTTTCTTCCGGAGTCAAGGGCAGCTTTTTGGTGTTCAGGATGATGGATTTCATAATGGGCATCATCCTTCTGCATCCCTGAATATTTCCAAGAACAGAACAGAACCTGTTCTTTAGGGAGGGAGCCCAGCATGATGTTTCAACACAAAGGACACTTGGGGCAAACAGTCCAAATCCTGGGTCTGCCATTTAGAGTGTGACTTAGGGCAAGTTATTTAATGTCTTGGTTTCTCAACTGTAAAACGGGGATGATAGTAAGAGTACCTATTTCATAGAATGACTGTTAGTTAAATGTGTTACTGTCCCTGTGGTACTTAGATGGTGCCTGGCACACAGTCAGGTTTAGCCATTATTCTTCTGAAATGCTCTGACAATCTTCTGCTCGAATACAAGGAACCTGGCCACTCATCTGTTCATTCAATGCATATGTCTTAAGTGCAATGATCTGGGCACAAGGGGGCGGTTAGACACAGTCTCGGCCCCGTGTGTCAGAGAAGACGTACTCCCAAGCAGTTACCCCAGGAGGTGGTGTATCATGGAGCTATTCCTTCCGGGCCCTGTTGCTGACTCAGTGACTGAAGTCTGCAGGGGTGGCTGTACCAGGCGGTATGGCTGTGAGTACCTCGCCTCAGTGCGTGGTTAAAGCACGGTTTAATTACTTTGTTTTAAAGTCATTAAGCTAATTTGGATATTCCTGATCCAAGGCTCACAAGCCCCATACCTTTCCCCCCATTATTCCCCAGCCTTGAATATAGACCTGTTGGAATGGATTCTCATTCATCTGGGAAAGCGGAATTAAGGCAGTCACACTGGCCTCGCAGGGATTCAGTCGCTAACATTTTATGTTAGAAGTTCAGTTTCCTCTTAGGGACAGTAACTATTTCTTTGTAAAACAGGTGAGCTGGAAAAGGGACGCGTCCACTGTGGACCCTCCCTTTTTGACCAGGAAGGCAGGTGTAGGAAGCCACATTTCGCTTTTGTAATTCAATGTGAAGCGGAAGACAGCTCACAGTTGCAATTATATGAGGGAATGAATGAGTTTGAAATTAATGACTGTTTCCTTTATCAGTGATATACCCAGCTAAGAGGCCTTTTAAGATTGTGGCCATGTAGCTCTCAAAAGGAGTAGCCCATAATTTTTTTCAGAGGTAGGTTAAGAAAAAAGAGGAAATATTATTTTGAAATTTGTAGGCTAGCAGTTATTTCACCATTGAAACTAGAGGACAATTCTCTGCGGTCATTAGTTAGAGAAGCAGCCATTTTCAAAGCCAGAAGGGACTCCCAAACATCCCACAGATTCAGGCAGGTGTATAGCCCCACCCAGAACATTTGCCTGTCTTCTCTCTTGAATGTTTCCAGGGCTGAGCCCCTCGGACCTCCCTAGAGGTCCACTATAGGGTCAATAACCCAGACAGGCAAGAGTCGTTTTCTTGCATCCAGCTGAAATCTCCTTTTTTCTCAAGAAGTTCGTCTCCCAACTTCTTCCTTTATGAACACAGGACATTGTTCTTTACATGCAGGAAGTCTGCCATCATGTAGCCCAACTTTGACTTTATGAGTATTTCTTGAGCATTTACTGGCTACTGAGCCCTTTTGTATTTAATCTTCACATCTAGTCCTGATGGAGGTGAGGAAGATGTTTTTATCTCCATTTTAAAGAGGATGAAGTTGAGACACAGGGAGAGTACCTGACTTGCCCAGCACGACACGCCAGCAAGTGGCAGAGCCAGGATTCTAACTCAGGTCTTTGGTCTGCAGGTCGAGAGCCGTTTCCACAATCCACCTGTGGTCTCCACATGCCTACCAAAACTGTTGCATCTTCTTGCTCGAATTTGTGCTTGAGAGCCCAGTGCCCAGTGTAAGAGCTTCAATGTGAGGGAAGCAAGGGCAGGGGCATGAGG